ATCGGGCTCCCTGCTCAGCGGGGAGTCTGCTTCTCCCTCTGACCCTCCCCCCTCTCATGCTTTCTCTCTATCATTCTCTCTCTCAAATAAATAAAATCTTTAAAAAAAAAAAAAAAGATAAGGAAGTGAAGAAGGCAAAACAAAGGGTAACTGGAGAGATGAGGTTAGATAAACGGCTCTATATTCATTAAGAAAAGATTAATAGAAAAGGCATTAGATACATGAAAAATTTGAAGAAAGTGGACAAGATAAACAATATAAAGATTTTCAGTTTGTGATAAATACAAAAGAGAAGTATTAACTAGATCAACAGAAAAGGCCAGCCTAGAGAGATTTTTAAAGTATCAAGAGCAAAACTAAATAGATATTCAAGGAGAACTATAGGAAGACCTAGAAATAAGATGTAAGAAGTGAATGAGGTTTCTGGTTCTACACAGTTGTCATTTAGAAGCAATCATTAAGAAAATCATACCCACTGAGCACACCTGGGTTTACAACCACAGCAGGAGAAAGCAATAACCATTTTATATAGTTTTTTTAGCAGAGAGAGATTGGCCTTTACTTGCAGACAGAGCTAGATACAAAATATGGCTCTCCTGCACTATCACTTTCTGGGCTTATCACTTTAGCAAGTTAAAGCTCTCCGAGTCTCTGTCTCATCTGTTAACAACAGCAATAGCTATACCTAATAAGATCACTGCATTGGAGGTAATGTGTATAAAGTGCTTAGAACAGCACTAGATAGGTGCTGATGTTAATATAATAATCATTAATATTGTTAGTTTTATAAGTATTATGTAGCAATGGAGTCAGTCAACAAAAATTAATTGGACATCTATTATGTGCCAGGGTGGTAGTAGGTGCTGGAAGACATAGAGGACAGAGTGCAGACATTTCTTTGAAAGGAGGAAAAAAGAGAAAATCTAGGACACATGAGATAAACATTAGAAAATACTTCAATAGCATTTTATTTTGATATTTTTTAAAGTTTTCTCTTCCTGCTGAGATTGAAGATTTGAAAATATGTAATATGGTCAGCTTTTTACTACACATACCATATGAACACAAACTACAAATGCTAATAATACCAGCAACATAACGCTTGTTAAGCTAAAGGAAAAGAATTAGCGTATATGCAAAATAGATTGTTAATGCGGCCACTAATAGGCAAGGGAAAGTCTAGGTTGGAACTGCCAGGAGGAATCTATAACCCAGAGGCCCATCCAAACCATAGGTATTCCTTAACCCTAAGAACAAGGTACTGGCATGAGAGTTTGTAAAAAGTGTGCTCTGCACACACCAATTCCTGTGACCCAGAATGAAGAGTGACCAAAAACATAAGACCTAAAGAACACACAGCTTCAGAGGGCCCAGGGCACCCAAGTGAAAGCATTCAAAACTCAAAACACAAGAGGTATCTGCTCAGAGGATTTAAAAAGATGAATTAAATAATAAAAGCTCTTATTTAATAATATAAACTAAATATGTAAATCTCAAATTAACAATTAAAATTATTTCCATTTACCTGATTGCTTAGAATTTCTTTCTTTCCACTGAATATTTTTGCATTTGATCTGGTTTTGTCTCTCTTTTCGGAGTCGTTCTAATCTTTGAGCTTGAAAAGAAATATTATAACTATAAGTTTGTCAATGAAAGTTTACTATAAACAAAGACATAATTAACTACCTTTATATGAATAAAGATGTTTTATATTGCATATGTAGGGAAAAAGTCATAAAATTTTAAAGGTGGCACCCCTGAAAAGCAAATACCAACAAAAACATGAAAATATTCTTGATTTATAATTGAAATTAGAGGATATAAAACATTAATAGAGATCATAAAGATAGTATTAACATGGAAGAGAATAATAAAATGTGAAAACTTCTGTGATTAATATGACATTTCATTATATAAATCATTAATAACGGTCTTAAAGGAATTTTAATGCACAAATGAACTGAAGTGAATATTACATTACAGGAATAAAATTACGGTTATGAATTACTCTACCCGTTTCAAAAATTAAAGATAAATGAACTCAGACTAGACTATTAAAGTTTTAAATATAAAATCCTTTATCTAAAAATCATGAAAATTATAAAATGTCAAAGCTATATAAATTAGCATAGCTTTTCTTCAGTGGGCTGAAACAGTTTATAGGTAGTAAAATAAATGATTTGTATCTTTGTAACATTAGTCAAATCTTAAAAAGAATAATTTTTCTTATACAAAATTTTAAGATATGCTGCAAGGATTAAAAAGTAAATTCTTTGGTCGCTAGGACACCCCACAACTGTAATTATTAGCATCTAAGTGCTATCTTAAGAAATTCCAACAACAATAACAAAAGCATCACCTAAAATCATGCATTTGTGAGATTATATTACCACTGGCTGATCAACCTTCAAAAATCAATGAACTGATCTTTTAAAGAAATATTGTTCAGCATACATTAACAACTACTGCATATGGAAACCACAATGGAAAAGAAAGTCCTAATTGATACCATTTCTTGAGATTAGTTTCCTCTGGCTAATCTTCAACTTCCTTTCCTGGCACAATGCTAACAAAAAATAAATAAGTAAATTTCTCTTTCAACCTCTTGCAAGGTAGGAAATCATACATGCTTGCCTTAGTTAGCACTGTGGTAGGGAAACACTGAAACTGATCTTGCCATAAATGTAAACTGTGCCGGCAAAAGCATTCTGACAATGTCACTGTATCTAACCAAACTCCATTGAAGGAAAATACATTCATTTGCAATTAATAAATGTGAAGAGTACAGCCAAAGTAACATAATCATAAAGCTCTCAATTTAGCAGCATTCTCCTACTGAAATCCATTCAACCTGTCATAAAAGATATCATCTCAATAACTTGCAAGGAAGTCAGTTTCAACTAGAGAACTGAGAACCAATGGTTCTAAATTATATTCAAACCTTCACTCAAATCCTATTTTGATAAAAGTTCCTTGAGATACTGGGAAATGCTATTATTTTCATCATAAGAGCAAATTATTCTTTGGAGATGTCTCAGAATGCTGAATTCTGAACCAAAACCTTAACATGCCTTGCACTATATATTGTATCCTGCAGTACTCCTTTATGTGCATTTTACCTTTGGACCACAAAAATAAACATGCAAATATTTTCAGTGTTCTACCACATCTCCTATCGTTACTTTTCCTGGGAGTTAGCAGGTTACTACTACTAGATTAGTAGAGATATTTTCTGATTACCTAAAAAAAAAAAAAAAAAAAAACACCTCCTAGCACACCCTGTCATATTAGAACTACATTACATATTCTAAATAATTTATCTAAGTAAAGGCCTTGGTTCATCCCATTTCCCTTGAAAGGTTTCCAAAACACGTAAGCTGGAAAATGGGCAATGATAAGCTTTCAAAAGCTAATGACTGAATATGTACGTACCAAAGTTTAGCTTTTTCAAGCCACAAAGATCAAAGGGTAGAGATCAACTTAAGAAAATAAAGATAATATATCAAAAACAGGGGCATCTTTTCTAGTCTCACACCCAATGTAGGAATTTCTATTAAAAGCAGCCCTAACAAATATTCAGCTATTTACCTCCAATCCCTCCTAGCCCCCCATAAGTCCTCCAGGGCCAAGAAATGGCTCCAGCAGCAGCACTCCTTGGCTGGTCAGCTCTCTGTATTAAAGGTTCTTTATTATGTCAACCTGAAACCTGCCACCCAGGTAGTCTACCCACTGGGACTAATGTTGCTCTGTGAAGATACTCAAAATAAGTCTACTTCCCTTTCTACATGAGGACTTTTTAGAAACAGAACATCCAACATGCCTCTCATAGCCACCTTTTTCATCTATTCGTCTTCTACTTCCTTCTGATAGCATCATTCCAGAGGCGCTCTCCATTCAGTCATGGAGAGGGAGATGTTGTTTAGACTCGCTCTTACTGTAATACATGCATGTTCCTGTTAATACACAGAAACTTTCCCCATTAAACCTATTCCAACATTATGCATTATTCTGTAAGATTATTGACTGATTTACAGTTCAGAAGACATGACTAAAAGGCAATGTTTACCTGTATTTGAGCGTCTTCTAATACCAAAGTCCCAACTTGAGGTAATATCGACTGACTGGGCATATACATAGCCCTGAGTCTCGCCATTGCTTCCCTGAATTTCTGACCCACTGTCTCCAGGCATTGAAGGAGGATGAATCTTCTCTAGGTCAACATCATGATCAATGAGAACCATCTCACACATTCCTGTGTCATCACTGGTCACATGTGACTGTCGAATATGAGCTAGAATGATAGTTGGATTGTCCAAGAAGGCCATCCTTTCTGTGGGCCAATTTCCTTAAAAGGCTATTTTCTCCTCTTCATATTGTTTCACGTGCTCACCTCCCTAGAAACATGATGTACACAGCAATATTTAAGAATAAGGAAGAAAATGACTGAATCATTTTTCAAACAAATTCAAATTAGTAAAATGCTACCTTGAAAATCAACATTTATCCTTGTACCTAGGAGCTTACAAGGATTAAGTCTAGGCTGAAAGGAAATCCTTATAAGCACTAGGGGCTTCAGCTCTAGTCAATGAGATCTCCATGGTATCAGAGAGGATGGCTTCCTCTCTTGCAATACAAATAATAGTGACTCCTTAGGCCACTCAAAGCACATAATTACTTTTAAAACAATAAATTTTCCTTTCTTTCTCCCTTCATTCCCATGCAGTCTCCTCAATACTTTATAAGGTCACGGGGGGACAAGTCGTATTTTCCTCAAATTATGTGCTAAAGTATGAAACTGCATATCTTTCGTTTACATTTCCCCCTCTTTATCATATGGCTGTGAGGTAACTAAAAGAACACAGACAATACTTTGAGTTACTAGGAATTAAAAAAAAAAAATGAACCACCAAAGTAATTTTGTTCAATAAATACATTTTCCTTTCTTCTGGTTTAAGATAGTATTGTGCTTTTATTTTATTTCATTTAATTTTAGGGGGGCAGGGTGGGGCAGAGGGAGAGAGAGAATCCCAAGCAGGATCCACACCCAGTGCAGAGCCCAGCATAGGCTCGATCTCAGGACCCTGAGACAATGACCTGAGCTGAAATCAAGAGTAGGATGCTTAACCGACTGAGCCACCCAGGCGCCCCAGTATTGTGCTTTTAAAGTAAACTTTATTAATCAAACTTCCCTGCTACCAAATTAATTTCTTATTTTAGAAACCTCATTGTAAGAACTGCTACCTGAATCCTGTTGAAACTAAAATGATGTTTATTCTGAGAACAAGATGGTACCTCCTCAGTTAAATGGGAATATTCAAAAAAGAAAACATGGTAGTCTCCCCTCATCTGTGGTTTCAATTTCTGCAGTTTCAGTTACTCGTGATCAACAGAGGTCCAACAGCAGATGATCCTCCTTCTGATGTACTGTCAGAAGGTCAATAATAGTAACCAGGGGCAGCTGGGTGGCTCAGTTGGTTAAGCGTCTGCTTTGGCTCAGGTCATGATCCTAGGGTCCTGGGATCAAGTCCTGAATCAGGCTCCCTGGTCAGTGGGGAGCCTGCTTCTCCTTTTCCCTCTGCCACCCCCCACCCCGCTTGTGCTTTCTCTCTGTCAAATAAATAAAATCTAAAAAAAAAAATATATTAGTAGCCTAATGCTATGTCACAATACCGATGTCATTCACCTCACTTTTGTCTCATCACGTAGGTATTTTATCATCTCACATCATCACAAGAAGGTCAATTACGGTACAATAAGATATTCTGAGAGACCACATTCATGTAACTTTTATTCCAGTATATTGTTATAATTGTTCTGTTTTATTTTTGTTGTTGTTAATCTTACTGTGTCTAATTCAAAAATTAAATTTTATCATAGCTATGTATGTGTAGGAGAAACAATAGTACACATGGGGTTTGGTACCATCCATGGTTTTTCAGGCATCCACTATGGGTCTTGGAACTCACCCTCTGCAGATGAAGGGGGACTACTGTATTAGAGTACACTGGTCAGGATAAGGACCGACAGGTAGAAATGGGTTCAAATCCTGACCCTACCACTTGCTGGCTATGTGATTTTGGTCAAAATAATCTTAACCTCTTTGAGCCTGTTTTCTTTCTTCATTAATAAAACGGGACTCCAGGAATGAGAGGATATAGAAGATATGTAGGGAAAGTGCTCAAAAGAGCACCTGCCACATAATTAAATATTAGCTGTATTAAGAATAACAATGATGATGGTGAAAATAATCACTGCTAATTTCAGCCTTCAATTCTTGTTTAATGTAATCCTAAAATATATCAACATTCATCCTTCTTTAGTAAGTGCACAGCATGTAAAATAAATGTGTGCTTCCTTTCTGAGAGAGGACTCTACAGGTCACCTGAGTCACCTTCCTCCTTTAAAATTATTATGAGATGCAAGGAACATGAAAGCTGGGCAGTCCCTAGAAGGTATTTATTTTTAGAAAGGCCTACAACACCAGACTTTCTTGTCATTTGTTTCTTCTAGAAATGGAACATAGGGGGAAATCTACTTAATAAATCATTATAACCAACAGAGCTTTTATTTATTTATTTATTTTCTTTTAAAGATTTTATTTATTTATTTGAGAGAGACAATGAGAGACAGAGAGCATGAGAGGGGGGAGGGTCAGAGGGAGAAGCAGACTCCCTGCTGAGCAGGGAGCCCGATGCGGGACTCGATCCCGGGACTCCAGGATCATGACCCGAGCTGAAGGCAGTCGCTTAACCAACTGAGCCACCCAGGTGCCCAACCAACAGAGCTTTTAAAAATTTTTGTCTAGTAACATTCTACTGACATCACTTGGTACTCTTAAAGATACTGAGATTAAGAGAAAGTTTAACTGAGGAACATCTCTAATCAAATGAATTACACTAATCTTCATTTTTTCCTTCAAATATATTTACTGAGTAGTTATTTTACACTGAGGCTAATGGGAAATGCCAAGGTAAGGCACCCCTGAATCAAAAAGTTTATAACCTAGGGAAGCCTGGGTGGCTCAGTTGGTTAAACATCTGCCTTCGGCTCAGGCCATGATCCCAGGGTCGTGGGATTATGTCCGCATCGGGCTCCTTGCTCAGCGGGGAGTCTGCTTCTTCCTCTGCCTGCTGCTCCCCCTGCTTGTGCTTGCTCTGACAAATAAATAAATAAATCTTTTTAAAAAATAGTTTATAACCTAATACAGTCCTAGTGTATTTCCTAATATAATGAGACTCCTCGAAGTCTCAGAAATTTTAATGTCAGCCTACCATTTTAAGTGTATTAATCAGAAAACATTACAGAATTAAAGGGGAGCATTTAAATTTCACTTGTAAAAATAAGAATTACTTATAAAACCACAAAGAGATGTATACAATCATGGAATTACTTATAAATGAGAATATCTGTTTTGTAACAAAATCATAGCATCACAGATGGTCAAAACTGCCAACACCCTCATAGCAATCACTGGGTCTCCCCCAGGACAGTAAGGCAACTAGGCGCTAGCAGAGGGGACAGGTGCTTTCAATTTCATACTGAATAACTCTCCCTTGCAAAAAACAAGGGTTTCAGTGAGAACCAACACATTTAATGGGTGTTCTGGCACCAACAAGTCAAATGGCGAAGGGCAAAGAAACAAAAGTATACTTAAGTACCCTCAACAGAATATACATATGCATGTGTGTGTATATACACATACATATATATGTATGTATGTATGTATTTATATATATATATATTTTTTTTTTTTAGGAAAATAGATCTGCTCCATCACCTCTTATGAAGAAAAGAGTTATGGACAAATACTTCTGAAGGCACACACCAAGTCCCTAACTTTATCCTTGTAGAACAGAGGCCCCCAAATCCCCAAGAGGAGCAGACAATTTCTCTATTGGTATACTACAACTTCATGCAATGAGGAATCTGAATGATTCACTCAACAAATATTATTCAATACCAATTCTGATAGGGAATTCCAAGAAGTGTGCCCTGGGAAATGTGCCTTCCACCTCCCATGACATGTACTTGAGGATTTAGGCTGTAAGTTCCACAGGGACAGGAGACACACCACCACATCCCTTCTGGCAACAAAGCATCTTACGCATGGCAGAAATTCGGTAAGAGTTGCTGTCTGACTGCCAAAGACTATATAATTTTGTTGTAGAGATAAGTCATCTATGAGCATGTCATGTGTAGTGTGATTATAAAGAAAGGATTGCCTTTTTTCCATTAATACAGATACAAGAGCTTCTCTTCAATATGCCTTTCAAAACTGTCACCTGGGATGGCACCTGGGTGGCTCAGTGGGTTAAGTGTCTGCCTTCAGCACAGGTCATGATCCCAGGGTCCTGGGATCAAGCCTCTCTAATAAATAAATAAAATCCTTAAAAAAAAAAAAAACCTGTCACCTTGCAAAAACCTGTCACCTTGGAACACTATCAATTTATCCCAACACTACTTTTCAGAACCAAAAGGATGTCTTACATCACTTTAAGAGCAGCAAATTATCATTTGAAGGTAGATTCGATTTCTAGGACAAAGATATTCCAAACACAGATGAAAACAAGTTATTCTCTCTAATCAGTTGTGTAAAGATCAAAGATTTTTAAAACATAATGTTGGCAGGGTTCAAAGAAAGGAGCCCTCTCATGCACTGTAAAAAGGAATGAAAATTGAGACTTTTTAGAGGGTAATGTGGTATCATCTATCAAAGTATAATGAGTACCTTTTGGGAAACCCTACTTGTAGGATTTGCCTTTAGGAGATAACTATGCAAAAATATTTATCTCAGGATTGTTTATTATACTGAAAATCTAAAAGTAACATATACATCCATCAGTGAGGAGTGTATCATGACACACACATGTAACAGAATACTACACAGTCATTAACAATACCTGGTAGAGAATGGATAAACAAAATGTGGTATATACATACAACAGCCTTAAAAAGGAAAAAAATTCTGACACATGCCACAACATGGATGAACCCTGAGGAGATTATGCTCAATGAAGTAAGTCACAAAAAGACAAATATTGTATGATTCCACTTATATGAGGCACCTAGAGTAGTCAAATTCATAGAGACAGAAAGTAGAATGGTGGATGCCAGGGGCTAGAGGGAGAGGGGAATGGGGAGTATTCATAATAAGTATGTTTAAGTTTGGAAAGATGAAAAAGTTCTGGAGACTGATGGTGGCAATGGTTGCACAATGTGAATATACTTAATGTCACTGAACTATACTCTTAAAAATGGGTAAAATGGAAAATTTTGTTATATATTAATACAATTTTTTTAAATTAAATTTTTTAAAAATGTCTAGGAAATGCCACATTAAACAAAATTAAATAAGTTTTCTTCTTGCTGTTTAATTACAGACTTCTCAATGCTTTTAAAC